ACGTATAATTGTATCTGATAACATGCAATAATCAGACATACACATTGCTGCTCACAGTCTGGAGATCAGTCTTGGATACATAATCAAACATAGACACATAGAAATACTAAAAATGTTTATCTTTGCAACACGAGGCAAGCTGGTTCACCCCCTTCCTGTAGTGGGTCTCGTCGTTGTTGCTGATGAGACCCACCATAGTTCTGTCATCCGCAAACTTGAGGAAGTAGTTGGAGCTGTAGGTGGGTGTGCAGTCGTGGTCAGCAGGGTGTAGAGCGGGGGGCTGAGCAGACCTATGTGTTATCGCCGACCCGTACAGATTGCTGTCTGGCAGTGAGGAAGTCCAGCAGCCAGTTGCAGAGAGAGGGGCTAAGGCCAAGTTTTGTTAGTTTACAAATCAGCTGCTGGAGGATGATGGTGGTGTTGAATGCTTAGCTGAAATGTAATCGTATTCTTGCTCAGGTGCATATTCAATTAGCCTACTAAATCTCTCTATAGTTTGTGTTGAGTTTTGTCGATTCTGGTTTTGAATCTTTATTGAGTGCACTCAGCACTCACTCTCACAGTAATGGGACAGAGTAAGAGGGCCATCTGCTGGAAACAGTGGGCATTGTTCTTCTCCTTTTCAAATATATTTTGGTAAGTAGTCCTACCAAAAGAGATGTTGGTAGTCGCTAGGTCCTGGTGAAAATTGTGAATTTAGAGAGGGTACTCATTGTTACACTCCTTTCTTTGCAGATTTATCCTATGGTTTTGAGTGACGGTTGAAAAAAAAAATCTACCACCACCAATTCGACAGTACAAGGCGATGGTGGTATAGTGGTAAGCATAGCTGCCTTCCAAGCAGTTGACCCGGGTTCGATTCCCGGCCATCGCAAAAGCTTTAATATGTACAAATAAACGGGGAGGTAAAATTGGTAATGCAAACACAATAAACGTATAATTGTATCTGATAACATGCAATAATCAGACATACACATTGCTGCTCACAGTCTGGAGATCAGTCTTGGATACATAATCAAACATAGACACATAGAAATACTAAAAATGTTTATCTTTGCAACACGAGGCAAGCTGGTTCACCCCCTTCCTGTAGTGGGTCTCGTCGTTGTTGCTGATGAGACCCACCATAGTTCTGTCATCCGCAAACTTGAGGAAGTAGTTGGAGCTGTAGGTGGGTGTGCAGTCATGGGTCAGCAGGGTGAAGAGCAGGGGGCTGAGCAGACCTATGTGTTGTCGCCGACCCGTACAGATTGCTGTCTGGCAGTGAGGAAGTCCAGCAGCCAGTTGCAGAGAGACGGGCTGAGGCCAAGTTTTGTTAGTTTACAAATCAGCTGCTGGAGGATGATGGTGGTGTTGAATGCTTGGCTGAAATGTAATCGTATTCTTGCTCAGGTGCATATTCAATTAGCCTACTAAATCTCTCTATAGTTTGTGTTGAGTTTTGTTGATTCTGGTTTTGAATCTTTATTGAGTGCACTCAGCACTCACTCTCACGGTATGGGACAGAGTAAGAGGGCCATCTGCTGGAAAACAGTGGGCATTGTTCTTCTCCTTTTCAAATATATTTTGGTAAGTAGTCCTACCAAAAGAGATGTTGGTAGTCTCTAGGTCCTGGTGAAAATTGTGAATTTAGAGAGGGTACTCATTGTTACACTCCTTTCTTTGCAGATTTATCCTATGGTTTTGAGTGACGGTTGAAAGAAAAAATCTACCACCACCAATTCGACAGTACAAGGCGATGGTGGTATAGTGGTAAGCATAGCTGCCTTCCAAGCAGTTGACCCGGGTTCGATTCCCGGCCATCGCAAAAGCTTTAATATGTACAAATAAACGGGGAGGTAAAATTGGTAATGCAAACACAATAAACGTATAATTGTATCTGATAACATGCAATAATCAGACATACACATTGCTGCTCACAGTCTGGAGATCAGTCTTGGATACATAATCAAACATAGACACATAGAAATACTAAAAATGTTTATCTTTGCAACACGAGGCAAGCTGGTTCACCCCCTTCCTGTAGTGGGTCTCGTCGTTGTTGCTGATGAGACCCACCATAGTTCTGTCATCCGCAAACTTGAGGAAGTAGTTGGAGCTGTAGGTGGGTGTGCAGTCGTGGTCAGCAGGGTGTAGAGCGGGGGGCTGAGCAGACCTATGTGTTATCGCCGACCCGTACAGATTGCTGTCTGGCAGTGAGGAAGTCCAGCAGCCAGTTGCAGAGAGAGGGGCTGAGGCCAAGTTTTGTTAGTTTACAAATCAGCTGCTGGAGGATGATGGTGGTGTTGAATGCTTAGCTGAAATGTAATTGTATTCTTGCTCAGGTGCATATTCAATTAGCCTACTAAATCTCTCTATAGTTTGTGTTGAGTTTTGTCGATTCTGGTTTTGAATCTTTATTGAGTGCACTCAGCACTCACTCTCACAGTAATGGGACAGAGTAAGAGGGCCATCTGCTGGAAACAGTGGGCATTGTTCTTCTCCTTTTCAAATGTATTTTGGTAAGTAGTCCTACCAAAAGAGATGTTGGTAGTCGCTAGGTCCTGGTGAAAATGGTGAATTTAGAGAGGGTACTCATTGTTACACTCCTTTCTTTGCAGATTTATCCTATGGTTTTGAGTGACGGTTGAAAAAAAAAATCTACCACCACCAATTCGACAGTACAAGGCGATGGTGGTATAGTGGTAAGCATAGCTGCCTTCCAAGCAGTTGACCCGGGTTCGATTCCCGGCCATCGCAAAAGCTTTAATATGTACAAATAAACGGGGAGGTAAAATTGGTAATGCAAACACAATAAACGTATAATTGTATCTGATAACATGCAATAATCAGACATACACATTGCTGCTCACAGTCTGGAGATCAGTCTTGGATACATAATCAAACATAGACACATAGAAATACTAAAATGTTTATCTTTGCAACACGAGGCAAGCTGGTTCACCCCCTTCCTGTAGTGGGTCTCGTCGTTGTTGCTGATGAGACCCACCATAGTTCTGTCATCCGCAAACTTGAGGAAGTAGTTGGAGCTGTAGGTGGGTGTGCAGTCGTGGTCAGCAGGGTGTAGAGCGGGGGGCTGAGCAGACCTATGTGTTATCGCCGACCCGTACAGATTGCTGTCTGGCAGTGAGGAAGTCCAGCAGCCAGTTGCAGAGAGAGGGGCTGAGGCCAAGTTTTGTTAGTTTACAAATCAGCTGCTGGAGGATGATGGTGGTGTTGAATGCTTAGCTGAAATGTAATTGTATTCTTGCTCAGGTGCATATTCAATTAGCCTACTAAATCTCTCTATAGTTTGTGTTGAGTTTTGTCGATTCTGGTTTTGAATCTTTATTGAGTGCACTCAGCACTCACTCTCACAGTAATGGGACAGAGTAAGAGGGCCATCTGCTGGAAACAGTGGGCATTGTTCTTCTCCTTTTCAAATGTATTTTGGTAAGTAGTCCTACCAAAAGAGATGTTGGTAGTCGCTAGGTCCTGGTGAAAATGGTGAATTTAGAGAGGGTACTCATTGTTACACTCCTTTCTTTGCAGATTTATCCTTTGGTTTGAGTGACTGTTGGACAAAAAAAGTACCACCACCATTTTGGCAGTACAAGGCGATGGTGGTATAGTGGTAAGCATAGCTGCCTTCCAAGCAGTGGCAAGACGTGCTTAGGTGGCATAGAGTGACAGCCAATGCGCGACGTGCTTAGGTGGCATAGTGACAGCCAATGCGAGACGTGCTTAGGACAGCCAATAAAATTGCAGCATTACTGAAGCTGTGAACCGCCGTCTTAGCCAGCTGAGATTTCTTCTGTTCGCAGGTTCGACACCCGGTTGGGGCAAAGTCTGTGATACATTATCAAAGATAAAGAGCTATCTATGAATCAAGAAATGTGAATCCTAATGTGTTATAGTAACTGTTATTGTGTTTATATTTATTTATTACCTTCAAAAGAAAAACTCAGAAGGTATTATTTATATTTAAGATATGGACCATGTAGTATAAATCATTTACTTATGAATGAGACATGTATATATTAATCAAGAAAACATCTTATCCTAATGTGTTATAGTAACTGTTATTGTGTTTATATTTATTTAAATATAAAGAAAAACTCAGAAGGTATTATTTATATTTAAGATATGGACCATGTAGTATAAATCATTTACTTATGAATGAGACATGTAGATATGAATCAAGAAAACATCTTTATTATAAACAACAGAAAGGATGACAATTTGGCATTAACAGACACACAGGAGGCAGTCTGTCAGGTAGTGTGCAGACACAGAGATCCCGTTCCAGCCATCAGAGTCCCCATACTCTCCAAAGGGAGACAATTGCCGAAGGAACTGGGTAATTGTCTTCTGGTCGTACTTTCCTTCCTCACCATCCATGATGTTCTTACAGCTGAGGAGGTACGCCAGGTCAGCCCGTTCATATTTCAGGTGCATCATCTCCGTGATCTGCTTTGCCATATCAGTGGGTGACTTACCGGTGCGCCTGAGCTCGTCCAGTACCGACTTACAGATGGCTTTCTTGTAAGTCAGTACTGCTGGCAGCAGGTTGGTGAACCTCTTGGGGAGCTTTTCCAGCCAGGATGGGTTGTCGGCATACCACCTCTTCCGGCAGACTTTGCAGCAGAGCCTTGAAGACAGCAAGTAGTACTGTCCGGTGATGCCGACAATCACACGAGGCCTACCAACACCAGCAGAGGCAATTTGAGGCTGAGCACAGCCGTCAATACACGGCAGAGTGTAGTTGTTCCTCAGCCGTCCCATCAAATTGTCATTTTCTGGCTTCCAGATGAAAAAGGGATGGAGCTGAAAATACTTGGCGCAGGGAAGATCATCAACACTGTCAATCAGCTCTGGCTGGGGAGGGCGACGCCACAATGACACCATCTTCAGAGGGTTGCGTACAGGAACGGACAGTTCCACTGACTGACATCCTGGTTGTAGGCAGGAAGCGGAGGAGGAGGAGGAGGAGGAGGAGGAGGAGGAGGAGGAGGAGAGGAGGAGGAGGAGGAGGAGGAGGAGGAGGAGGAGGAGGAGGAGGAGGAGGAGGACAGCTGGGGACCGTTGATGGCCTGGGTAATGGCTGACCTAGGCAGACAATAAATAAAAACACATGGCAAATAATTACGATATTGTGTGTGTGTGTGTGAGATTTTGTGAAAAATGATTTCTAGCAAGTACACATCCAAATGAGAAACATTCAAACACTTGAAGGTGCCTCAAAAATGTGATGTATTGTTATTATTACTCACTTTGTGTTGGTGCAGCTGGTGGATGCAGTGTCGGTTGACAGGGCTCTGCAGAAATCTCAGGAGCCACTATAGAAAATATTAAAACATGTCATTATTATCAACAGTAAAATAAAGAAATAATGTTGTATGACGCTTAGCATCTTCACTGTAGTCAGCAAACTGTACAAGGTGCAAAGAGTCAAACATATACACACCTGGAACAGTGATGTTGGTCTCTGTTGGTGTCGGGGCGGATGGTTCCGGCATCAGAAACATCAGCTCCTTTGGTAGGGGCACAAGTCTCTTTACAGGAAGAGCAGGGGCTGCATGGAGGGATAGCCAAAAGATTTTTGCATTTTATCTGTCAAGAAGAAAATATATATCAGTGAGTTAATGATGTTCACAGGTGGGGTCTAATAGAGAGCAGACTTTAACTGTCTGCACATTCACATTGTGCTATGATATATGTAGTGCTATTTTACTTTGGATCAGATATTGTTGATCTTTGTTCCTGTATGTCTGGAGCTGTGTGTTTGTTGAAACTATTTACACTTCCATTACCCCTCCCCCATGGGTCAAACCCTTTTAACTAACAAAGGGAGCTCAGCCAAGGCTGAATGATATATTAGATAAATAATTACTAAGTAGTAGATGAATGTTATGGATGTGGTTTCAACAGTTCTGGTGTTTAGCAGTGTGTGTGTGTGTGTCTGCATCTATTATGTATATTTAACCCCGTCTGGGCAACGGCACAGCTGAATATACATAATACTTTTTTATCCAAAAGTAAACTGCTGTTAACTTGTCCCCACGCTGTGTTTTGTAACAGTGATGGGTTAGTATATCTAACCCCGGTTTATTGGAAAATAATACGGGAGTTAATGGTAATCTTACATGGTAGTTAGCGTTAATTTATATATTTAAATATACATTAATGTAAACGCGCACGGAGGATTTCGCCACAAGTAACTCGCGGTAATTGCGCCTCACCAAGTCAACAAAAACACAATAAACTCACACAGAAATCCTACCACATGAACTTTAAGCGGCTTAAGTTGAATTAACTTTACATTAACAATGTAATTCATCCAAAAGTACCGTTAGACTCGATACACGTAGGAAACACGGACCACTTTATAGCGTATTTTATTTTATATTTAAACTAAAACACGTCAGACAAAGCCCAGATAACATAACATTACATGTCGCTTCTCTGTTAATTCATGTTAATATAACTTAATTTACCTTATAATTTGGTCGTAATGTCCAGAGTTGAAAAATATGTATGCATTTACGTCGCTGTGAAGGCGGGGGGATGAGCAGACAGGGTCTCACTGGCAAAAGTGCGCCACAGCGCCACTCGCGGCAGCGGCCAAATATATATGACATCGGCTCTGGTTCAACAGTGCCATAGAGACTGGTTTGTTGCTTCCATTAAAGATTCATGAAACGCGGGGGCAAAGCAGTTGACCCGGGTTCGATTCCCGGCCATCGCAAAAGCTTTAAATTCTTCAAATAAAGGAGGAAGACAATAGGCAATGCAAACACATCAACCAAATCATTGTATCTGATCGCATGCAATAATCAGACATACACATTGCTGCTCACAGTCTGGAGATCAGTCTTGGATACATAATCAAACATAGACACATAGAAATACTAAAAAAATTTATCTTTGCAACACGAGGCCAGCTGGTTCACCCCCTTCATGTAGTGGGTCTCGTCGTTGTTGCTGATGCGACCCACCATAGTTCTGTCATCCGCAAACTTGAGGAAGTAGTTGGAGCTGTAGGTGGGTGTGCAGTCGTGGGTCAGCAGGGTGAAGAGCAGGGGGCTGAGCAGACCTATGTGTTGTCGCCGACCCGTACAGATTGCTGTCTGGCAGTGAGGAAGTCCAGCAGCCAGTTGCAGAGAGAGGGGCTGAGGCCAAGTTTTGTTAGTTTACAAATCAGCTGCTGGAGGATGATGGTGTTGTTGAATGCTTAGCTGAAATGTAATTGTATTCTTGCTCAGGTGCATATTCAATTAGCCTACTAAATCTCTCTATAGTTTGTGTTGAGTTTTGTCGATTCTGGTTTTGAATCTTTATTGAGTGCACTCAGCACTCACTCTCACAGTAATGGGACAGAGTAAGAGGGCCATCTGCTGGAAACAGTGGGCATTGTTCTTCTCCTTTTCAAATGTATTTTGGTAAGTAGTCCTACCAAAAGAGATGTTGGTAGTCGCTAGGTCCTGGTGAAAATTGTGAATTTAGAGAGGGTACTCATTGTTACACTCCTTTCTTTGCAGTTTTATCCTATGGTTTTGAGTGACTGTTGGACAAAAAAAGTACCACCACCATTTTGGCAGTACAAGGCGATGGTGGTATAGTGGTAAGCATAGCTGCCTTCCAAGCAGTTGACCCGTGTTCGATTCCCGTCCATCGCAAAAGCTTTAATATGTACAAATAAACGGGGAGGTAAAATTGGTAATGCAAACACAATAAACATATAATTGTATCTGATAACATGCAATAATCAGACATACACATTGCTGCTCACAGTCTGGAGATCAGTCTTGGATACATAATCAAACATAGACACATAGAAATACTAAAAATGTTTGTCTTTGCAACACGAGGCCAGCTGGTTCACCCCCTTCATGTAGTGGGTCTCGTCGTTGTTGCTGATGCGACCCACCATAGTTCTGTCATCCGCAAACTTGAGGAAGTAGTTGGAGCTGTAGGTGGGTGTGCAGTCGTGGGTCAGCAGGGTGAAGAGCAGGGGGCTGAGCAGACCTATGTGTTGTCGCCGACCCGTACAGATTGCTGTCTGGCAGTGAGGAAGTCCAGCAGCCAGTTGCAGAGAGACGGGCTGAGGCCAAGTTTTGTTAGTTTACAAATCAGCTGCTGGAGGATGATGGTGGTGTTGAATGCTTGGCTGAAATGTAATCGTATTCTTGCTCAGGTGCATATTCAATTAGCCTACTAAATCTCTCTATAGTTTGTGTTGAGTTTTGTTGATTCTGGTTTTGAATCTTTATTGAGTGCACTCAGCACTCACTCTCACGGTATGGGACAGAGTAAGAGGGCCATCTGCTGGAAAACAGTGGGCATTGTTCTTCTCCTTTTCAAATATATTTTGGTAAGTAGTCCTACCAAAAGAGATGTTGGTAGTCTCTAGGTCCTGGTGAAAATTGTGAATTTAGAGAGGGTACTCATTGTTACACTCCTTTCTTTGCAGATTTATCCTATGGTTTTGAGTGACGGTTGAAAGAAAAAATCTACCACCACCAATTCGACAGTACAAGGCGATGGTGGTATAGTGGTAAGCATAGCTGCCTTCCAAGCAGTTGACCCGGGTTCGATTCCCGGCCATCGCAAAAGCTTTAATATGTACAAATAAACGGGGAGGTAAATTGGTAATGCAAACACAATAAACGTATAATTGTATCTGATAACATGCAATAATCAGACATACACATTGCTGCTCACAGTCTGGAGATCAGTCTTGGATACATAATCAAACATAGACACATAGAAATACTAAAAAATGTTTATCTTTGCAACACGAGGCAAGCTGGTTCACCCCCTTCCTGTAGTGGGTCTCGTCGTTGTTGCTGATGAGACCCACCATAGTTCTGTCATCCGCAAACTTGAGGAAGTAGTTGGAGCTGTAGGTGGGTGTGCAGTCATGGGTCAGCAGGGTGAAGAGCAGGGGGCTGAGCAGACCTATGTGTTGTCGCCGACCCGTACAGATTGCTGTCTGGCAGTGAGGAAGTCCAGCAGCCAGTTGCAGAGAGACGGGCTGAGGCCAAGTTTTGTTAGTTTACAAATCAGCTGCTGGAGGATGATGGTGGGTGTTGAATGCTTGGCTGAAATGTAATCGTATTCTTGCTCAGGTGCATATTCAATTAGCCTACTAAATCTCTCTATAGTTTGTGTTGAGTTTTGTTGATTCTGGTTTTGAATCTTTATTGAGTGCACTCAGCACTCACTCTCACAGTAATGGGACAGAGTAAGAGGGCCATCTGCTGGAAAACAGTGGGCATTGTTCTTCTCCTTTTCAAATATATTTTGGTAAGTAGTCCTACCAAAAGAGATGTTGGTAGTCTCTAGGTCCTGGTGAAAATTGTGAATTTAGAGAGGGTACTCATTGTTACACTCCTTTCTTTGCAGATTTATCCTATGGTTTTGAGTGACGGTTGAAAGAAAAAATCTACCACCACCAATTCGACAGTACAAGGCGATGGTGGTATAGTGGTAAGCATAGCTGCCTTCCAAGCAGTTGACCCGGGTTCGATTCCCGGCCATCGCAAAAGCTTTAATATGTACAAATAAACGGGGAGGTAAAATTGGTAATGCAAACACAATAAACGTATAATTGTATCTGATAACATGCAATAATCAGACATACACATTGCTGCTCACAGTCTGGAGATCAGTCTTGGATACATAATCAAACATAGACACATAGAAATACTAAAAATGTTTATCTTTGCAACACGAGGCAAGCTGGTTCACCCCCTTCCTGTAGTGGGTCTCGTCGTTGTTGCTGATGAGACCCACCATAGTTCTGTCATCCGCAAACTTGAGGAAGTAGTTGGAGCTGTAGGTGGGTGTGCAGTCATGGGTCAGCAGGGTGAAGAGCAGGGGGCTGAGCAGACCTATGTGTTGTCGCCGACCCGTACAGATTGCTGTCTGGCAGTGAGGAAGTCCAGCAGCCAGTTGCAGAGAGACGGGATGAGGCCAAGTTTTGTTAGTTTACAAATCAGCTGCTGGAGGATGATGGTGGTGTTGAATGCTTGGCTGAAATGTAATCGTATTCTTGCTCAGGTGCATATTCAATTAGCCTACTAAATCTCTCTATAGTTTGTGTTGAGTTTTGTCGATTCTGGTTTGGAATCTTTATTGAGTGCACTCAGCACTCACTCTCACAGTAATGGGACAGAGTAAGAGGGCCATCTGCTGGAAACAGTGGGCATTGTTCTTCTCCTTTTCAAATGTATTTTGGTAAGTAGTCCTACCAAAAGAGATGTTGGTAGTCTCTAGGTCCTGGTGAAAATTGTGAATTTAGAGAGGGTACTCATTGTTACACTCCTTTCTTTGCAGATTTATCCTATGGTTTTGAGTGACGGTTGAAAGAAAAATTCTACCACCACCAATTTGACAGTACAAGGCGATGGTGGTATAGTGGTAAGCATAGCTGCCTTCCAAGCAGTTGACCCGGGTTCGATTCCCGGCCATCGCAAAAGCTTTAATATGTACAAATAAACGGGGAGGTAAAATTGGTAATGCAAACACAATAAACGTATAATTGTATCTGATAGCATGCAATAATCAGACATACACATTGCTGCTCACAGTCTGGAGATCAGTCTTGGATACATAATCAAACATAGACACATAGAAATACTAAAAATGTTTATCTTTGCAACACGAGGCCAGCTGGTTCACCCCCTTCATGTAGTGGGTCTCGTCGTTGTTGCTGATGCGACCCACCATAGTTCTGTCATCCGCAAACTTGAGGAAGTAGTTGGAGCTGTAGGTGGGTGTGCAGTCGTGGGTCAGCAGGGTGAAGAGCAGGGGGGCTGAGCAGACCTATGTGTTGTCGCCGACCCGTACAGATTGCTGTCTGGCAGTGAGGAAGTCCAGCAGCCAGTTGCAGAGAGACGGGCTGAGGCCAAGTTTTGTTAGTTTACAAATCAGCTGCTGGAGGATGATGGTGGTGTTGAATGCTTGGCTGAAATGTAATCGTATTCTTGCTCAGGTGCATATTCAATTAGCCTACTAAATCTCTCTATAGTTTGTGTTGAGTTTTGTTGATTCTGGTTTTGAATCTTTATTGAGTGCACTCAGCACTCACTCTCACGGTATGGGACAGAGTAAGAGGGCCATCTGCTGGAAAACAGTGGGCATTGTTCTTCTCCTTTTCAAATATATTTTGGTAAGTAGTCCTACCAAAAGAGATGTTGGTAGTCTCTAGGTCCTGGTGAAAATTGTGAATTTAGAGAGGGTACTCATTGTTACACTCCTTTCTTTGCAGATTTATCCTATGGTTTTGAGTGACGGTTGAAAGAAAAAATCTACCACCACCAATTCGA